CTGGGCAGCCCCTGGACACTTGCAGGTTCCTAATACTGGTTCCACTAACAGGATCATTGATTTAAGACTCACAAGCCTCTTAGTGCTAATGAGCTAAGCACTGGCACGTCTGATGAGGCTTTGGATACAAGTATTTATTTATCCTCTCCTATGACAGGGAACAAAACCCCAGCTGGAGGGAAGCAGATGCTTGGCCAGGGCATGCTGGCACAGGGCTCACCATGAGGCTCACTGGTTGAGATGGTGTCCCCAGCACCACTGGGGTGATCCTGCACCCCAGGAAGGATCCTGGGTATCCAAACCATACAAAACCCGTCAGGGTGACTAAAGGATGGACATGGTGCACTCAACATTGATCCTCTTTCTCTACAGCAATCCAGCCCGCTGGTTAATGTAGGCAGAGCCTTCGGACTAATTGCATGTTACCTGCCATTTGCATCACAGCTCATTGATTGCTCTTCCAAAAATTAAAAACAAATCAATAGAAAGGGAGAAAAATGTTATTTTTAGGCACTTGGACCTCAACTCTTAGAGGCTCCTCTGTAAACTGGAATCACTGTCAAGTTTCAGAGTCAAGTTTGGTTTTCTTTTAAGTAAGAGCTGTAACATACTGAACAGATATCACTTGCCAAATATTTCTGCCTTTCAAGCACTGATGTATTTCACAGATGGGTGTACATTCTGGGGGACATCACTTCTCCCACTTGTAATTATTTGAACACAGATGGTAAATCAAGTCCTTCCTCTCCCTGAGAAGCCAGGCATGGTCCTGCAAGTACAGGGTATTTCTCTCGCTGGGAATGGGTTTTCTACATCAGGAAACGCAATGCTAGTACTTCTTGACTGCTGGTGCTTCCTTCCCAGCCTTCTTGTCTCTCTGCAGAAGAAAGGAAATCTCTTTTCATTCAGGCCTTTCTGCAACTGACTCCCTGAAAGTGGCCAAGCTTGTACTTGCCTTGCATTTCATTGTCTGCAGCTCATTTAAAAGCTCCCAACTAAGAAAAGGAGTTGCTGCTCAGCCCCTCCTGCCAGCCCAGCAGCCGCCCCTCCCTCCAGCCAGAGCCAGAGAAGCAGAGGGTGTCACTTGCATCCCTGTACTCAGCTGTCAGGAGGCTCCACGACCCAGCACAAGATGGGACTCCAGGGAAGGCGGCCAAACCAGGATCCTGCTTGCCAGCCTTGCCAAAGCAGGCACTTGACAGCCATGTTTTGGGGAAAGTTTTGATGTGCATTTGAAGGTAAGAGTTGCCTGGCCTCAGTGGTGTCGTTCCATCGTCCCTCCCACCACAGGCAGGAGCCAATCCTGCCCTCCTTCTGTGGCTTTCTAGTCTTGCCTGGAAATCTTGGCACAGGGCACTTGCAGCGCAGGCTGTTTGTCTTTCTGCAGCAGTCAGCTTCTTCTGAGGCTTCCCAGGCTCTGTGCCTGCACATGTGAAGCATCTGAATTTGTGGTGACAGCCCTGAGTCCCAGGACTGCTATGACACGAGGAGGACAGGGGTCCCCTTGCTCTGCAGTGACCATGAGATGGCGTCACCACCCCGGCTCGCTGGGGTCTTTTTGCAAGGTGTTTGTTGTACTATAGCAAAGTCTGTTGCATGGCAGTACAGGGCTTGTTTTCTGCATCCGTGTTGGGCTTATTGTGATACTGGTCAACTGTCCAGAGGAGTGACAGCTTTAGGTTACTGCAGCAAAGGAGCTCAGAGGGTCTGGGTAAGTGTTGGCACTGCTCCTACTGCCCACAAAGAATTCCCACTGCTCATTGTCAGAGGCTGCCTAACAACACTACTGCATTAAAAGCTGAAGAAGTAAGGAAACTAAAGTACTCCCTTAGTAGGGCCATGATAGATCAGTAAAATGGTCTTAATGATACCATAATTATATTTAAAAATAGAGTAAATACATAAAGCATATATTAATTTTCTCAGTTTCAAGAGCTTATTTATTCTTAGCACTCTCCACTAAGACTCTGCTTCTGCCAGTCATTTGACCAGCTGTAACATCCCAGCTCCTATACCTGTGAGTGCTTATTAGTTATGACTCATCCTTTCACATGGATATAATCCTGGCATTCCTTGTTTTCCTGGGCTATGTCAAAAAAAGTATGCCCCAGTTTTCTTACAGCTAACTTAACAAAAATTTTTGCTCGTGCCAATGCAAGAGAAAATTCAAGTGTGTGTTATTTCCTTTTTTTGCATGTCACAGTGTGTCTTTTCATCCATACTTGATTCAAAGGACTCTGGCACACCACCAGGCACAGGTTCCCCCCCAGGGCCTGCATGACACAATCCCAAGACAATCACAGGTGGCTTTTGGTGCCTGGATGTGAGCAACTGACCTGAGACCAAGAACTCTAAATAGGGCGAGGCACGAGTTTCGGACCCTGTCTGCCACTGTACTTGTAGGTTGTTCTATGAGCTTCTAGCCAACACGATAGACTTTGGGTCAAAAATCTCAAAATGAGCACTTTGCGTGTGGCTTTCTGTCTCCTGAGGCAGGAACATCCCTGTTGGAAACACTCTTGTCAGGGCTTGTTTTCTGGTGAACTGTTTTGGGTTTTGATTATGGAGTGTAAGTTTTTCAATCGAAAACTTGATTTCAAGCATTTGGCTCCTCAAAATAGACTCACTCAGGCTCCTCAGCCCCTGGCCAGCATGGGGGCATTGGCCTCTCAGGTCAGTGGGCGGGACAGACATCCCTCTGCCGGGAGGCGAGGAGAGACATCACCGCAATGGGAATCACTTGTCTGAAGCTGTTGACACCCCACCCTTGACTCCCTGGTGGGAGTGGTTCAAGTGAACCTCAAACAATGATTAAACCACAGCAGCAAATAAGGTGAGAGGCAGAGCAGGCGTGGTGTTATGTGGGGCTCGGCTGTGGGGGCTTGTGCTTTCACACTGGGGACAGCTCAGCATGGGGCTCTGCACTACCAAGGTGTTGTGTAGTCCTGTAAATATAACATGGGTTGTGTTTGTTGTGTTTAACTCTTTTCCTGTTCCCTTCAGTTTCTTTACTTGGTCGTAAGAGCAGCAATTCTTTATCCCGATTTTGCCCAGGCTTGTGCTGAGATGACCCTCAAAGTTTTGTCTTTAATAGAATGATAACAATTTTTCCAGATTTGTGGAGTTTCCATGGGATTCCAGTAAATATTACAAAAGTCTGTGTGCTACATGGCCTCTGAACCACCCATGCTTGTAGATTTTAAAGTCCTCATTGCCTATAGAAATTAATAGCATTTCCACAGGTCTGGAAAAAAACATTCCCAGCCTTCTTTGATACTTGTGCTACTTAGGAAAAAAAAAGTATCAGTGCTTGCCTTTTCTGCATTAGCATTCCAAGGAAATCAAATTAACCAAGCCTCTCTTCAAACTTTTCAAAAACAAATGGAAGATTTTTGGCGTGTTTGCCTTTCATGTGTATTAACAACTACTTCATTGCTCCTGACTGCTGACTTTCTTCCTGGTTCCTGTGAGCCCCTCCTTGGTCAGTTTTCCACCTGTCCTAAGTGTTAATGTACTAGTTGTATTTTCTATTAATGATATATTATTTAATTACTACCTTTAACAAGCCAGGGAACTGTGAGCCAGCTGCTTCTTTTCCTAATTAGTGACACAGCCTTTTGGCTTGCAAATCAAACTGTCAAAGAACATTCAGGTTGGCATCCAGGCTTTGGGTGCCTTTGCTACTGTGTCCCAGTGAGGGGGAAATCACTCCACTGGGAAATCACCCGTGTGGGCTGCAGCTGCCTGAGCAAGTGGAGGAACCTTCAGCAGAGCCTGGCAGCAAAGCAGTGAGACTTCCACAGCTAAGGAAACCCAAGAGGAAGAGGGAGACATCCTAGCGGAGGGTGAGATTTGCTCGTCTGCATCAGCTAGAGCTGGTAACTGTTCCTGGCTCTTCCTCACAGCAGCTGGAATTGGGTGTATTTATTCTCCAGTGCCCTGAATGTCTCTGGTACTCAATGTACAATTTCATAATGACTGGTTGAGGAACATTAGGTAGATGGAGAAAATAAGGAAACAAATCAAATCACAAGCAGACTGCTGGCTGTGTGGCGTGACAGCTTGTTACTGCGAGTTGCCCAACGCCAGTCTGCCTGCATGATGAACGAAGATGAGGAATGAGTCAGCTTTTCCTAAAGGCATCCAGTGAGAGTAAACTAATTGGACTAAATATCCTGGAGGTACCTAGGCCAGCACACGCCACCCTCTCAGGCAGGTATAGACAGAGGGCAGAGACACCCAACAGCACTTCTGCCCTGAGGTCCGGGGGCAGGGGGTTGGCGCTGGGTCACACGCACTGAGAAGTGGGATGGCCGGTGCCAGTGAACTGTTACCAAAGCCGTTCCCATGTCCCCAGTTTAATTTAACTGGGCTGAAGCATTCACAGAACAGTGGGAGAAACTGCCATAAGCCCTCTCCATCCCTGCTGCCGGCCAGTGCCAGCCCTGCCAGGGAGCAGCACGTGGAGAAGCTGGACAGGGCCGTGAGGATGGGGAGAGGCCCAGCCCAGGCATTGCCCCTGCTGGAGCTGCATCACACTCACACATCCCAGCAGGAAGGGAAGGGAGCAGGGCTCCTGCTGGGACTCACACATCAGAAGAGGCACCAGGAAACACATTTCATTTATTCAGTTCCAACAACACTGGTGCCCCTCTCTTGCCTTGAGGTGTGGTGGGGTGTTTTGGGACAGTGCAGTAACCACCCTGCTGAACAACATGAAGGCATTATCAGACGTTTAACAAATATCAATGCTTTAATATAAACACAGGCATTAAAATGGATTTCGAAGAGCTGCCATCCCTTTCACTGTTGCAGACTGTAAGGTAAAGGTGCTTTTCAACCACAGTGGGGACCGAGCCGCCCACACCCCAGTACTACACAAAATGCGCTGAAGGCCAGGGAGCAGAAGAGAAAGTTAAAGTGCAGTAGAGCTGCAAATGACCGTGTCCCTCAGAACAAGGCTCCGCCTCAGAACGGGCATCAAATAGACTAAACGTTCGTTAAAAGGAAAATATTTTGAATTTTATTTTTTCACGTTATTATCAAGTACACAATTACAATAATGTCACACATCCCTATATGGTTCTATGTATTTTGTTTTTTTCTTTTGTCTTTTTTACAAAGTGTACAGAGGGAAGGACGTATACAATATTTAACAGGGTATTTTCTACAGAACAATAATTTATATTATGTCCTTGTAAAAATCTGTACCTTTTTTAAACATTAAACTGAAACATCCATTTTATAGCATTTGCTAAGCAAATTATTTAAGAATTAAAACTAGCCTGTAACTAATGTCAGTACATTAACAATAACTATAATTTCATTTTCTCTTTATACAGACAAATACATTTTACAAAATCCACTTGACCAAACCCTTAATTATTTAAAAAAAAAGTTTCAACATTGTGCTTTAAAAAAAAAAAAAAAAAAGTGTGTATGATTCCAGGCTACGTAAGAGAAAGAAAATGCATAAAATTGTGTTCTTTGTCTTTCAGCTTATTTAAAAAAATAAAGTTAAAATGGCTAAAATCCTCAGCAATACTATGGGAATTTATGCAGATTTTGTACACTTTCCAGGTTTCCAGTTAGAAAATGCTTGAACATAAGAGGGGGAAAAAAATAGTCACAGGCAGGTACTTTGCAAGAAGCGAACGGGAAACCTCTGCTGGGTTTTGCTGCATCTGATTTGGCATCAGTAGGCAACGCACAGCTACGGCCATGAAGGAAATCCGCGGGCTTCAGCTTCGGGGGATTTCAAGGAAGGCACAGTGCAGCACGGCCAGGTGTTACACGCTAAAGGGTCATGGCCCGCTAGTAGCAGTATTATACAAGAGCACACTGGGCAAGTCTGGGGACACTGTCAAGCAGGCATTGAAAGAAAAAAACATCATACGACACAGATAGTGACATGGCATTTGACTGTCCTGAACTGCACACTACAGACGAGTATTTCAGCTCACAGTGAGACACGAGGGGCAGGGCTCGGTAACAAAACAAAACACAAAATGCTCAGAGGACGCACACCTGAAAGGAAACCTTTGTCCCTCTATCACCCCGAACTTGAGATCATAACTAAAATTCCTGTTTCATTTCAACTGGAAGTTCACCTGCCTAGAAACAAGAATTAACACTGGGCCAGGCTCTGAACCCTCTCCATTAGGGAATTGCTGGTTACAAATCTATCCTAATCTGGCAGGCAGCTGGGACCAAATTCTGCAATTCATCGTCAAACAGTGGCTGGGGTGGGAATCTGAGCATGGGGAGCAGGGCCAGGTCCTTAAATCTGGCATGTAATTAAATACTTTGGGTTGTTGTTAAGGTATATGACTTCATGCTTGGTACATTTATGCAGCAATTACCAAATGATGTGGCGCTACTTTATAATAGTCTTCAGGTGGCAAAATTGCATATAATAATTGTAATATTCTCCCAGCTGTTTATAAACAGATTAAAAGAACTGGGTTAATTCTGGATACTGTACTAATTAATAAACAGCAGCTGAACACAGCTACTGATGGTTCAGGAAAAACATTCAATTTAGAAACAAAACTGCTTCTATCAAAAGTTACTTTTCATATTAAGGATATCTACCTTACATCTCTACTCCTTAGAAACATGTCTGCTCTGCTCCTTTCCCCTCTTAAGCTCTCACTGTAAATATCTGCTTTCCAAAATCGAGGCACCTCTCGGTCTTAAATTTTATTCTAAAACAACTCACAATAAAAATGTGACTTGAACCACAAAATGTTTTTTAAAGAAATACCAACACACATAAAAGCATAAAGTTTGAGGTACATTTACCGGCACATACAGACAGTTGTGATCTAGTATTAACTCTGCAAATGGAACACGAGTATTTTACGTTTCCAACATTAAGACAGAAGTAAAGCGAAAAGAAAAACCAACTCATTTGTAACACACAAAACCTTTCAAAGACAAGCACAGAACAATAAATGTACTATTTGAGCATACTTTTAAATTTGCCCAAGAAAGATAAAAACCTCCCCAAACCACTTTTTAAATATTTTTCTCTCTGAAACCAGAATTAAAACACAAATATTTTTCCGCAACGAAGTGAGATTTGTAACTCCTCAAATAGAAAATAGTTAACCTGCCACAAAGTCTGTATAGTTAAAACAAGACAATCAGGTGGGCCCTAGTGCCTTTACTGTCAACACGACAATTCCCCATTTTTTACACACCTCTGACAATTTCATTGAAATGTCATATTTTTAAAATTCATGACAAAACTGCATTAACATGGACACTGTGAGTATCAACGAGGTCAGTAAGATATATATCTCTAAATAAACTATTATGGTTGAAAAATTCAGTAAGAGACAGGGTTTACTTTATTAAATGCAACTTTATTGTTGCCATCTTTTCTTCATTTATTAAACAAACTGAATAGAATTCAGAACACGCTATTGAACAAAAGGTATAAAAGTCAACTAGAAGCAATAATCCTATTTTTATACAGCAACAAATCAAATGCACAGTATTTTTTTTTTGTTGGGTTTTTTTGTTGTTTTTTTTGGGGGGTGTGATCGCAGGTGATTGGCTTTAAAATAAGCTAACTGCCTGAAGGGCAAATTTCCTTTATAATTCCAGCCATAAGTCTGTGAGAGGGACTTTAAGGCAGCCCAACATCTTTATGATGTCGCATAATGTGCTGGTTCTTCTCTGAAGGCCTTCGGAAACCTTTCTTGCAATACTCACACCGGTGAGGGTAGTCTTTTGTGTGAATGGAAATAACATGCCGTTTGAAGCCTGAGGCGTCTGTAGTGCTATACTCACAGTACTCACACTGATAAACTTTCCTGCCACTGTGTGTTTTCATGTGTTTTTTCAGCTCATTTTGCTGCCTAAAGCCCTTTCTACATCTCTTGCACCTGAAAGGAAGATCCTTTGTGTGAACTGAGAGTATGTGGCGACTCAGAATGAAGGGGTCTGCGATCTTAAAGTCACAATGTCTGCATTGGTGCAATTTTTTACCCTTGTGAGCCGCCACGTGTTTTTTCAGTTCCGAGGGCCTGTGAAAGCCTTTATCACACATATCACACTTATGAGGATAGTCTTTTGTGTGGACTGAAATTATGTGTCGTTTCAGATCACTGGAGTTTGAGCTCTTATGGTCACAATGCAAACACTGATGTGTTTTACTTTCTGGATGCATAAGCGTATGCTGCTGTAGCTCTTTGGTATCTGAAAAAGTCTGGAAACAAATATCGCACTTGAGCGGCGTTTCCTTACTGTGTTTAGTCTTTACGTGGGTTTTCAAGTTGGAGGAGTCGGCAGATCGGTACTCGCAGTACTGGCACTGGTAGGGCTTCTCACCAGTGTGGATCCGCATGTGCTTCTTGAGCTCCGACGGATGGCGAAACCCTTTGCCACACTCCACGCAAATGTGAGGAAAGTTCTTGCTGTGGACAGCTAAAAGGTGGTGACTCAGCAAGCCTTGCTCCGCTGTCTCATAGTCGCAGAATTTGCACTTGTGCATTTTATTAACTCCTTTGTCCCTGTGCACCATCTTGTGAGTGAATAAAGTTCCTGCATGAGAGAAGGTTTTCCCACACTCGTCATATTCAATAAGCTTTTCTGTTTTGTTGGTCAGCTTATGACTCTCCAAGTGGTTATGTAAACTTATTTTTTTATTCGTAGTGTAATCACAGTCTGTGCATCTGTATTTCTTCTTAGTAAGAAGGTGCTCCGGGTGGTTTTTCATGTGCCTTTTCAAGAAACCTCTAGATTTAAATTTCTTTCCACAAATCATGCAGGGGTAGACTGTCAATGGATGACCATCAGGGCCAATGATTATTGCTGAAAAACAACAAAAAAACCCTTCATCAGTATTATACAACATTACACTTCAGCAGGTGTCAAACTGCAATGTTAACAATACAATGAATCGTTAAATGAGATTGGACATCAACACTTTACAATAAACAAACTTGTTACTGGGTTAGGTAGAAGAAACTGAAGGAATTACTACTTTCATTCATTTTTATTACTAAGAGAAAGGAAATACTGTTTTTTGATGGAGACAACCAACGCATCACCCAGCTGCTCTTCGACTCAATTAATTTTCAAGAATTCTGAGTTTACACATTAAATATATCCAGAAACCAACACTGGTGCAAAGAATAGTGGCCAACTTGTTAAACTGAGTATTACCTAGTAAGCAGAACACATGATCTCCTTTGACTCCCCATAAATCTGTAGATAAAAGTTTAATCTGGCAGTTTAATCACCTACTGCTGACTACAATTCACATGTCCCCAAACTAACACCTCCTTCTTGTGCCATCTGTCCACAGTTACGAACTAAAGAGGTACCAAGCAGGACTCAATGAGAACATGTTTTACATAAAGATACCTCAGAGCTTTGGAACTTATTTGCACTCATCCATCAGCCTGATTTGTTTACCCTGAATTTGTCTAGGCATGTCAAAAAAGCTCTCTTTTCCAAAAATGTTTTATAAGGAGAGCTGACTAAGTAGTTGGAAATAGAAAAAGCCAACTTTAATTTGCCCGATTTACTGACTCAGTGCTAAACAAAACAGAACTCCTACAGTTAACTCACAATTTGGAAAGAAACTTATAGTATTAAGTCAAGGCTGTTAAAGAGAACAATTGTGTGCTTCTTTCAACTTTATCAAACCTAATAAATAACTCCAACCATAACACAGTACCAGCAGAAACCAAATAATGCCAAAGAGCACTTCTGTTCTCACAGATGCAAGAAAAGATACAGGCATGGACACCAAGGCAATTTACTTCATAATTAAAACAGAAAAGAGTATTGAAGCTATACTACCAAACATTAACATACAATGTTCAGACTTTCCAGTTATCTACTGAGCTGACGAAACGCACTGTTCTACATATTTTCAATAAAGATAAAAAGGGTTTTTAATAACCACTAAATTTCTCTAACATCACCCTTAAAGTTACATTAAACAATAAAATTGGTGTGGCAAGTTAAGTGTATAGGATTTTAACCTTTTGACACAATACTGACGTCAGCGATGGTTTACTTTAAAACGCCCATCATAATCCAAACCATGTAATTAAAATTTTTTAAAATAAAATATGCACTCATTTATAATGTAAAAGTGTTGCCAGCAAAGCAATAGCTCAAATCACTGTTTTTACATGACATTGCACATGCTATCAGCAAATACATCTGTTTATGAGTGCCAAGAGTACAGCCAGCCACCAGGTACTCACCTGTCTGATACTGCCTGGACTCAGGTCTCCTCTTTTTCTTTGGTTTTTGCTTGGCCAACCTCCCAAGTCCAGATGACTCATCTATGTGCAGAAGAGCACTTGCAGTGCCATTTCGACTTTCGATGCCATCGTTATTATTACCTACCAAGGTAAGTTAAAAAGTTACCTACCATCTCTACAGATAATTCCAGCACAAACTCTTCAATGGCAACAACGGAAATGATAAACTATTATCTGGACATTTAATGAAACCATAATATTATACAGCATGAGCTGCAAAGTGTCTCAGTACGGAACTGATGAATTATGTTTGCTATCATGAGCCTGGAAATATTGGCTTTGGTAACCTAATTTTACAGGAGTACAAAATTTACAGGAGTTAACAGTTTTCCATAACATGGAAAATTCTCCTTTAAATGCAGCATTTTTTGCATGTCTTTGGTTGCTAAGTATACCCAAAATGTTTAACATCAGTAAATAATACCATGTCACAATATTTACTGTGCCTGATTCTCTCGTCAGTCCTGAAATACATTTGTGTGTGAGCTCCCATTCACTTCTGGACATCTGAATTCACCTGACTGAAGTCTGTCACACACCAAGTTTCTGAACTGGAACTGCAATCAAAGAATCCTTCTGAACAGCCCATAAAGTGGTACACAAAGTACACTGTACTATTTGTACACCTGATGCTTTAGCGCTTAAAAATTCCTTCTAGTGGGAACAAAGAGCATGCTCAGTGTTGTGTAACAGAAAGAAGGAAGCAATCTTTGCCTCACAGAGCTTTGTGTTTAATACACAAACGGTACCACTGTATGTAAAACAAACATGAAAATTACAAGCAAATGTATCTTAGATTCGAGAAGGTATTTATTGGACATCAGTTTAACACTGGTGATTTAAGGACGTAAGTAAATTCTAATAATAAATTTTGCAGTTAAGTATTTACTTGAATCAATAAAAGGCAACAGTTCCTCATGAAAGCAAAGCACACAAATAAGACAGGAAGACTGCAATAGAAGAAAGTGAAAGATACTCAATAGTTGTTCCTTTTGTAGAGTGCAGAGAATTAATATTCATGATTAATGTAAGCAGACTGAGTCAGGCACAGGCATGTGCAGAGCCTGAAGGTTCTGATCTATACGTCAGCTCAAGTGTTGAGCAGCAAATGTGGCACCTTAAGAACAGTACAATGCTCAATTTTCTCCTCCTCCTCCTCCCAAATAACTGAATGTTTAGGCTACAGACGCTGCTTCAAGTTCACTTCTTTTCCTTTTTAATTCCCAGTCAACCTGGCATCTGACATTTCTTCTCCACTGAAACTGTGCTCACCTATGGCCAAGGTAAGGCTTTGGGTGCACTACCATCCATCCTCCAAACAACTTTTAGCACAAGTTGCTCCAAGAAATCTTGCCCTTCCTGACATATGTCCAAGATTCCAGCCCCCACTGCATTCTCAGCACTTCCCTGCCATTTAAATGTCTGCTGGCACCATCACCCCAATCCACATCATGCAGACACGTAAGTTTTGTCATTTACTTCACTATTTCTTTAGCTTTGTTTAGAAGAAGAAAGGGGTAATAAAGAAACAGTTTTAAGATTAAATTTTGGTCTTAAGTTTATAGAAGTTTTGGAAATCAGTTTGTGCACTAGTTGGTGCTCAGCTACCAACAATCAGGGAAAATGGTTCTGAATGCTGGAAACGCTCTCAAGATTGCGCTATAATTTTAAGATGTCTCCCTCCAAGTTCTTTTTGTTAATCAATTATTTCCATTAGTGCAATCACATATTTATCTGATCCTTCTAGAAAGCACTTAAATCAAGCTTAGAGGTCAGTGCTGCTTTTCACTGTTACACTGAATCTTATATATTTCCATTTGCCTTTTTTTCCCTCCACCAAATAAAAATATATTCAATTGTATTGCCAAGTCAGCTCTTGCTATGTCCTAAAACCGTGAGGGACAGATGTACTTGAGGTGCAATTTTTCAGCTGGAAGCTCATGTACTTCCCCTTTTACATCATGAAAATGTGAAGGAAAATGCCTGTTCAAATAGGAGCAAGAAGAATCCTGCCTTACAGCCTCTCCCTCTCGTTTAAATGGTCATTATGCCAAGAAACCATTCTTAAACTAAAACTTTAAAAACAAACACAAAAGCACAAATGCTCCACACTGCCCTCCAAAAAACCAATCCCTGACACTTTGCTACAGACAGTGTCACCAGGAAGAATTCCTTCAGTATTACCTACCATAAGCTGCTGCCCAAGCTATGGGCATGAAAGTTTTAATTTCGGTGTCATCAATTTGCTGCTCGTGGGCTGCTGCAGCATCTTCCTCTCCTACAATGACTTCCATATAAACCTCATCAGCTATTTCTGCAACATCTAAAAGAAAAAAAGTCAATAAAAAATTAATAGGAACACTGCACTGCTGAAAATTAAAATCCCTGCTCCCAAAGGAAAGCCACCTACTTACTTAAGTCTTCGTCTTCGTGCTGAGAATCATTTACAGTCATGTAAACCATTTTCTCCCTTGGAATACGAATACTGCTGTTTTGATCGAGTAATCCAACTGCGTGGTCATTCTCTGGCTCACTCTCCACAATGTCTACTGTGCCCCCTAATCAGGAAGACCAGAGCAAAATATTTTAATTACAGTTTGTTGAAAACCTATGCTAAACCACAAAAACCTGAAAGTTTGACACTCTTTAATATCAGACCTACAGGTCTTTAGAGAAACCACAGTCTCATCATGCAAAATTTCAAATGTCAGGTTGGAGTATTCTAAAACAAGTGTATTTTACCTAAATCGTCTTCTCCAGGATCTGCTTTGAATATATAGACCTTGATGACTTCTGGACAAATGCCATCCACTTTACAAGAGCCACTTTCTGACTCTGCTTCCATGGTAATTTCAGCAGAACCTTCATGTTCTATCTTACCAGCATCATCCACTACAAAAACAAGTTATTACAATTACCCAGTCATATGCAGACATATATGAAAGACTTTATTAATTTATTACTCAAATTTGGAAGCAGTTTAAAAAGTTGTGATAAAGAACCTACCCATAAATACTTTTTTCATATCCTTGAAAACAATACCAGTAAACACAAAAATAAATTCAAACTGTTATCTTTTAGTTATGGGAAAGTGCAAGAATGCTGCAGTGATGTGACTAGAAGCATGAGCAACACAGCAGGCAATGCTAATAAGGAATTGTGATATTCAGCAAGATAATAGTAGGACGAAAGTGCACATCAGTACTTACTCTGCAGAATAATTTCACTTATTCTCGGTTTTAATTGCTTTCTCCTTCAAAACTAATATGCTATTAATTTTTCTTTTCAAAAGCATTATCTGTTGCTCAACCCTGTCTCTAACGCAAGTGGTGCTACTGCTGCCTGTCAGACCTGGTTCCCAGCAAAGCCATGTGATTAACGCTTCTTCAGTTGCCTGGAGAGGAAACCTGAGTGGAAACTACAGGAAGAAAACCCTCATGAGAAAACTTTTCTCATGCACTCAAGAGCTGAAGGATGGAGCAGCAACCCAGCACTGCCCTGGTGCTGCAGTGCTGGTGAAGCTGTTCATGGTGCCCGTGCTGACAGGGACTTGCACTTTCTGCTGTAGCCCCAGTAACTCTCAAACTTTGTTCTCCTGCTCTCAGGAGGGCACCGACATCACGCTCCAGCCTGAACTGCTGCAACTTGCCTGGGCCTCCCACACAAACGTGGCTGAGGGCCAGCTTAACGAGGAACATGGCTCTGATCTGAGACAGACTGTACACAGGCACGAGTGTGCACACACCCCACCCATCCCACAGTATCAAGAACGGGTTTTCAAGAAAAAAATACTAAATATCCTGTCACAAAAACCAACTCCAGCATCTCAGGGCCTTTAGAGAACCTCCCCATTTTCAGAAGCCCCATAAGTTTTTCGAGTGTTAAGATTATTAAAGTACTTTTAATGTGACTGCATACTTTTAATGTGACTGCATACTTTCTTAATTAGTGACTTTATTGTTTGTAAAGTCGCTCCTGATAGGGCTCCCTCAGAGTCAAACATAACTTCAGTTCATGACAATAAGACATGAAATTTATACTAAAGGAAGTCTAAGAATTGTCCTATAAATGCTGTAGAATTCTTAACTACCATTCCTAGCACATATCAATTATTTAATAAAGTATGCTTATTTTACTAGTACTCATTAAACTACCCTCATAAATAAATCATGCCTTTACTACTCAACAACTGCAACTCTTAAATTTACTTTAATACATACTTCAAAAAAAAAAAAGCTCAAAATATTATTACTATTACTTTCCTGACATGAAATTAATAAATTAGCCTTTCAATTAGATAAACTAGGATGTGTTCTGTCTCATGTATCAAACACAACTGTACTTAAGTACAACTTCTCAAGCACCATAATTGCTCACAAAAAATACGAATAACAATAAATTATAAAGCACTACCATAAATTAGTCTTTCTCTCTCCTTTCCAAAAGAGCAGCAGAAGAAAACGTTAAATACTCCAACGTCAAGTTCATGACCGATGGGCATTTTACAGAATGCTTCAAGCAGTAAGAGCGTTTAAAAAACAACTTTGTGTCATGGGACAGCATAACGTCTTGTAGCTGAAAGCCCAAAGCATTTAAAAAGTAAAAACCTTAAGATGTTCTTTTGAATCACATTAACAATGTAGCTCCACAGTACACATATTCAATTATGAACAGACTTCCGTGACTTGTTCATCATATCCAAGAAACACCAAATGTCTCTGGAGCTCTGACAAAAAGAAAACTTGCTTTTGTTCCTCCACTACATTCATGTAGTTGCTCTCCTTTAACTTGGCCGTTTGCAGTGTCAGGCACATGTATTTGGAAGGCTTTCAAATCAGTGTACACTGACTTTACACTGCTGAAGCCAAAAGGGAAGTCTGGCACCAAGATGAAATGATGCTGGAACACATTCACAAGGAAGGAAAACTATGGCTGAAGCAAACAGAGAGAAATCAAACCTATGTGTACCATGTGAAACAGGCTGGTTCCTTCTGACCAAAGCAGTGTTTTTTACTTCCATATATATATATATATATATATATATATGGAAGTATCCATCGATAAAATTTTCCCACAACAGAAGAATTCTAAATCTGAAAAATATGCTCCCTTTATGCTTTGAAATAAGTTCTCCAAGATTCAAACTAATCTTTTAAACAATATGATTAAAAAAAATTGTTACACAATTTAGAGTTTGTTTATCCCCAAATTCCCTCTATGTTCAACAGTGTTTTAAAAATGTAACAATTGGTTTAAATATTTTTAACAGAGCCATTAAACTGTAAGGAAATTGATGTGTAGGAGGTATGAGGCCAACTTTTCTCATACAAGTGGAAAAAAATTACCACTCTTGACAGGTGGTAGTACTTACAAAACTAAAGTCCCTGAAGGGCTTGAAAAGTAGTAATATTTGCAGTATAGTGGCAAACAGGTAATAGGAAGAAAAGTAGGGTGGAAAGAAAAAGGGTAGGAAAAGAGATAAAAATCAAAGGAAGAGACAAACAAGGTGCAAGAGAACGGGTATCTATTACAGAAAGTATGATTTCCAAGGTATATTGTCCTATGGCTACGTAAGCATTTAGCTATACTGGTTCACTGATGTTCTGGCAGCATCTATGAAATTTGATTTCTATTTAACACTTTCCCCATGTTTCTGCATTCTGCACATATCTCAGTCTCACAATCAGAGAAAATGATATTCATAAATACATGACTGATCAGTGTTTGAAGTTGGAATTCTGATGATGTTTGAATTTTTCATTCAAATTCAGAGCCCATCAAGGAATTCCACAAATACCATGCATGGTGGATACTCTCACATTGCTTCTCTTTGATAATACCTCCCACCCCCTCCCTCCCCCCAAAAAAGCCCAAATTACTTAAAAGTAGTAGTTAAGCTTCTAAGAGACAGTTTCCTTTCAAGTAGAGCCACTGGGCATTACTAAACTAATCACAAGTCACATGCTAGAAAAACGTTCAGGCCAGCATTACTGCAGTGCTGTCATACCTTGTGCCTCCATTTTGATATGATCTGAACACTAAACACTTTAAGCATCTGATTTTTACCCCTCTAGTACCTGGTAGCTTTACTTCAGCAAACAAGTAGATTCAGACTAATTTTCAGAGTTTAAAAAAAGAGAAAAATTACTAGACACAACATTATTTCATGTGAACTGCAAGAATGCAGTCTGTGGTTAGTTTGCCAACATTCTTCACAGACTTCACTGATTAGAGCAGCCTGCTCTTTGCATACTATGAGCTGCAAAAAACAAATAAATAAATATGTGATTCTCCAATGTTGCAACAATTGCTTCCATATAAAGATAATGCTAGAATTGTTATTAAAAGCACAAAGAGATGAGAAGGGTGTCCCACAACATGAAAGATGTGGCATATTTAAAGCCTGTGTAGTTAACATTTACACTACAAGGAAATCAACAAAAAGAAACCAACAGATAGAAGAAGGAATAAAGCAAAGAAATAAAAGACACAGACAACATTTACAACAGTCTCTGTTTAACATGTGTCCTATCATGATGACAGCATTTATCTCCTAGCAAATATAACATTTAATTAAAAAAATCATACAATAAACTAGAACATCCAAGGAAAAATTATCTCCTGTATCTTTACTCTTCTACTAAAATATGTCCAATGGTATGTTTGGGACGGGAACAAGCTGCTATGCATTGATAATAAAAATCATATTTAAAACCCCATTGAGGCCAGTTTTCCAACACAGAAGCACAAATGCCAGGCCAAGATGCTGCATTTGCTTAAATGTTACATCTGTCTTTCAACCATGACACACATGCTTTCCCAAGAAGTTGGGGTTAGTTTTTTTATATCAAATATTTGATGGATCAGCAGATACAGGCGTTGTACCCCTGCAGTGTTTCACTCCTAACTAAAAAATGCAAATACAACTGCCTTTATTTTTAATGGATTTCATAATAGTTTACATTTATTCTTTCCTACCATTTCTCCTCTACATGGGATTAATGAGGACAATAAAAGGATTGTAAAAGATAAAATTCACTTAACTACAAAGAAAACTTCCACCTTTTTCAAGTACACACTGCTAATTGCTGAAAACCACACTGTAACAAGTCTTAACATCAATCTAACCAGTATAAGAGATCTTAAAAATGTATCAATGGAGCAATTAGACAAGAAATCCTCTATTTTGTCAGCATGCATGTTTCCAAATGGTTCTCCTGGCTGCTAAAAAAATGTGCATCATGTGATACTTGCCTGCTTATAAAATAAACAACTCTATTTAAGCATTCTTAATGAAAAAGGCCATTACTAACTATTTTCCTAAATAGATTAAAAGCACTCCTTATTCCCCTGACTTTCTTCAGTTATCTGTGATAGAAACATTTTACTTCTACTGCACTTGACAGCAGACAATTCCTAGTCCACTGAAGAAGTTATTTTTACTGCCCAATTAGTTCTTGAACAGCAAAGCTGGTTTCCTAATCTGTAAGGAAACAAGAATCTGCTCTATTTTGATTTTAACCCACTGCCATTACACATGAGCACCTGTATATTCTGTGTGTCTGTCCCCCCAAGGTAGTGACCTAGCAGAGGAGTAACTCCTGAGCTCCAAACTGGGATCTAACACTTGTTCTTGTCCTGCTCTCCCCAGGACACAAATCAGACTGAGCTCTGAGGCATCAATCAGCCCAAGGCAATTCTTACTGCCATCACCTCTCGTGGTGACCTCCTGAGCAGCCCGAGCTTCAACAGCTGTTGGTGCCATTCCAGTGGTCAGACAGAAGCATGGAAGCAAGTTCTTCCTCAGGGAGAGAAAAATGTAATTTCACCTTTAAGAACCTCCAGGGAAAACGAGGGAGGTACTTATGCTAAAAAAAACAAATAAAAAGCATTTTGTTTTCTAGACTAGAAGTCGACTGGATGGCCCTAATGAAAGCATGAACTTTATGGCTTTGCTCATCAGATGCACTGCTTTCTAAAACATCCAACTAGGACCAAAAGAAAGATAGGTTACACTCAGACCTAGGAAGAGATGCAATCATTCTCTCTCAGTGAGTTACCCTGGGTTCTGACTCCTGTAATGAAAAGTGTTAATTCAGATAGAACAAACAAGCAACATGTCTAACTCAGAGAAAAGTAAGGATATAGATGGATGGACCTAACATATCTCCTGCATTTGCAAGTATTTAACTTCTTAAAACTGCAGCTTAAACTTTGTGAGGCTGCCCCACTCTTCACTCTCTCCAGACTCCCCTTGTCAGACCTTTGTGCCTCACTAATTTTATTGCAGTATGAGTGTATCAGGGTAAAACTTTTTGTCTTATGGAATAAGTTAATGCCAGAGGATGTGTCTGTCTTTGCCAATCTGAATAAAATCAAACAAAGAAAAATCTGTTTCCACCTTATGGCCAGGTGCAAGGAACTACTTTCCTTGGTTAGTAAATGCAGGATGTTTTGTTTTGACATACACTAATTATCTCAGTTACTGTTTCACTTATGGAGAAACAATTTTCCAAGCTACCAAATAATTAGTACCAATGTGAGTCACAGTACAATTTATACTTTCCTGACCTAAGTCATGAACTGGCTTGTTACGGAACATGTAAAAGAAAAAAAAAAAAAAAAAAAAAAGGGAAAAAAAAAAAAAAAAGATTTATCAAATCTCCTTGAATCTTTTTCAAGCTACTAACCAGCAGCAGTTTGCATTTGTTAAAAGAATATCTCATTCTGCTCTGCTGTAGGTGCCCCAAATCTACCATGGAACAAAAATTAATCTTGAGGGCAAAGTATCCAAGAAAAAAAAGTACATCAAAAGGTAACTGATGACATAAAGCTGTGCCAAAAAAAAAAAATCTTGGAAATTAAAAAAAGCAAAGGCATATCAATGCCAAAGCTAAATTAAATCTAAATGGGAAAAGAAATATTAAAATTGTGAGCTTATTGAGGCAAAGTCACAGAATGAAACCCCACAGGGACTGTAATCTTCGAAAAGACAAACCAGTCTGAAACCAAGAAAGAAAGCAGAAACACAACATTTTAAAAAAAAAAGGCAGTCATTTCAAATCAGAATATCAAAATATCAGGTAGATATTTTCAGGATAAAGCTAAGCAAATTATCTTAAGAAAATATATGTAGACTCAATTCTTTAGGAACAAAAATGGAAATGCTGAAAAAGAGCCACAAGATAGGAAAAAGATAGCAAAAAGATTTTGCCAACAGCTTCCACTAAAGAATACAGACTGAGAAACACTACAACAGAAAGAACACAGAGTGTCATCCCTGCTTTCCAAGTGCCTGTCTAAAAGACAGGCAAAGGCATTCCGACAAACACAGTCTAGCTCCCAGATCTGGGAAGCAGCAACATTTGGCTACTGTAATGGTAGACAAGATTACATTCCAACATCTGCCCCTGCACTTCAGGGAGCTTTGCCAGGATCAAACACAAATTTACAGGTTAGGATGAAAAAAATCCAAAACTAAGCTGAGATGTTACTACCTTTTAAAAATCACTTGCTACTGAGTTCAGCTGAAGAACTGAGGCAGGGAACAGATCAGTGAACACATCCACTGCCGATGCAAAACAAAAAATTCAAATAATGTTTCCGATACAACAAAGAGACTGCTTGGCAAGACAGCCTTTACTTGATGGAAAAGAACTAGACTCTGCCTTCACAACCAGAAGAACTTGTTATGCAGGCTTTAAACACAGTAGGTGGTAGTAGGGAACTTCCCTTTAAAATGAACTGTTAGAACATACTTTAGATTTTAAACACAAACAGAAAGGATGCATGCTTTGTAGCATAACGATTGTTTTAAATGCTGGCTTATTCAAGGTTCTGAATCTAAACAAAGTACATTGCAAGACTATCAAGAGACATTTAATAATACACAAAACAGGAAACTACAGAACTACATGACTGAAAACTGAGAGTACCCCAGCACAACTGAACAATTGCATTCCTGTGTTTCTTGCCAGTCACCACCTGTTGACAACTGGCACATCTAAGACTTCTCAGCTAGGCTGGGATCATCCAGTGCAGCCTCTACCACGACAGGCTGTCCTCCTTCAGCCACTGCCAGTGTCGAACAGGACACACATCCACCCACCCCCCTCACTTGCATTTACACAGACTCGGTTTGCCAAGTGCTGCCATGAGGCCTCGCTCTGCAGGAGGAACCTGCACAGAAAAGGAGAGCAGAGACAGGAGCAACAGCACCTTAAAGGGCTACAGTCAGGGATAAGGAACAGGTAAGAATCACCACCAGTCAGGCCCCAATTATCCATGGGTGGATTATCCAGTTTGTTGTCTAACTATGCTGCAAGTGCAAGAAGCATTTGAGCTGCTTTTCATCTGATCTAACTTGTGTCCAGCACCCAGAAAGTTGTTTATCTGTAGCACACTTGGCAGAGTGCATTTAACAGTTTGGATCAGTACCATTTCGGAGAGCAGCACCACTGACCTATTTCACTTCAGTACAATCCTGAAGCTTAATTTTACAAGATTTTATGTTATCCATACTTTGCACTATCCCATTTAATTGTTTTCCCAGATAATAGAGAATTAACTGTACCTCATATAAACTCAAAACATGGCTGCACAAGGTTACTCAAGGAACTCAAGGGATGATAAATTAAGAAATGCAGTGATCCTAGGTAAGGAGAAGCAACATTAAAATCCGTAAGTAGAGAATATTAAAACAAGTTATTATACATTTCAAAATGTCCAAAAGTAAAGAAGGAAAAAAAGGGGAAAAAAGGAAAAAAAAGAAAAAAAGCTAACTGAAGCAGAGCACGAAGCACACCTCATCAATGGAGCCATTTAATGCCAGACAAAATTGAAGTGCCTGAAATGGCAATTAAACAAACCAGCCTAACAAGGCTCTCCTATTCCTACAATAAGTAAATGTTCAGCAGTGACACCCTGATGTTCCTAGGTACTGCACTGAGTAATCACTATAATAAGTAACAGAGTAAGCTCTAGTTCACACAGATGGATATCCTCAGTAGAAAAAGGATTGATGATATGCCCTGTTTTTCTCCACCCTCTACTTAAGTCTTTTGAAATACGATTCAAATGGATTGTGCCACTGTTCCTAAGGGAGATTAAGATATTCATAGTTGCTTTTGAGCTATGAGCAGCAGTAGCTACTCTGTGTTAGCTGCATGCCTCTGCCCTTTGCTTGATCAAGAGAAGAAAACACATCCTAACAGCAAACAGAAACATACTGCTGTCTGTATTTAACAATAAATGAGGTGTGAGGATTGGGGACTTAGCAAAAAAACAAGACAAGGATAACAAATTGTCATTTGGACTTCAAAAAATCAGAGTTTTTAGTCTTTCTTTTCCATTAGATATTTTGTTTACTTAATGTCTTGGCAATCATCTTAGCAAGCTGCACATACATTCACTTTCAAATACTGTCATTTGAATTTTCTTCCAGTTCTTTTAAAGTATATGGCATTTATTTTACTGGAATTCTTACTCTTGTTCTTGTGCTATACATTGCTAGAGAGATAATTTATAATCGGACACGTATTTGCCAGTATTTCTCTCCATTAGCTTCACCAGAACTTTTAGCTGGTACATGTTCCTAAACCTCCCCCTGCCATGAGAGAGATCTGCATTTCAATTAAAAATACAGAAAATCTGGTTTGGGAACTGTCTTAAGCCCTCAAGCACCACCCAGGTCCATATCACAAGAATTTTGACGTCTTTATCCAAACACTTACAGGAAATCATAAGGTAATCATCACAGTTGCCCTTCTCATCTTGATGTTCCACAGGGATTCCATTGGCATCGATCACTGCCTCTGATGCACAATCTGCCACCAAGACTTCCTCAGAAACAACATCTGTTCCCAGGGTATCGGTGACAATATCTGCTTCTTCGACGTTATCGTGAACTACATGTTCTACATGTCCAACTTCAGGGACATGCATTGACTCGCTTGTCAGCACATGCTCTGGTATAGACATTGTTTCTGCTGTTATGTCAGAAGCTAAAACATCATCTGGGACAGTGCAGTGAGCCAAAGAAACCTCTTCGGCTACGTCTGTGTCCAGCACTTGTTCAGGAATAATGACAGTTTCAGATACATCTGGCTCCTCCATGATATCTGGGCACTGAACATCCTCGATAACAACATCCTCAATGACATCCTGGATTACTACAGAGTCTGGATCATCGGGAACAAAATTATGCACAGTTATATCTGAGTCGACTACATCTGAAACAAATACTGTTTCCTGTACTTCCACAACAATCTGATCTCCATCCATATGTGCTGCATCAGCTCCTGAAAAACATAATTAAAATAGCAGTTAAGTTGAAAAGCTGTCTCAAGTGAGGTGGTTGATAACTGAAATTACTTCTGTTTCACTTCAACTTTTACACTACACTGTAATTTAGTAAAACAGGCATGATAGCATGTGAGCAATTAAGATAGGCAGAAACATGGGATAAGGCAAGTAAAAAGTAGATGCTAACATTATTAAGATGTACAAGGTTTTCTCTCCTGGAAAAGATCTGCAATTTTTAGACTCTCCCCCAATACCCAAACAACTATTACTTGACTGAAAGAACAGTAGCTCATTCAGACTGCTCCGAGTAATAAAAACAACTATACAAAAGCATTGATGCAGCACAGCACTTTTAGGCAAAGACAAAATAAACAACAGTCAATTGCATCCAATTCGAACACTCTTATCTACATATTATCTCCTGACAGACCTGTTGGATCAAAAAATGCATTTGGCTCATGTGGCTGCAATTCAAGCCCATCTTCATCCATGGCCTTTAACTCTCATCAGTCACAGTGTCTGTAGAAGGTAAAGAAAAAAGGTTATTTAACTTGCATTAGGCAAAGTTGCCTCTCCCTGTGCACTGAAATGCTGAAATTCTAGGTGCACGAAAATTAACATACAGCTCCTCATGACTTTCAGATGAACCAGATTTCACTTGGGGTCCCTCTGTTTGGGATTCCAGCATTACTACTCTAGAACACCAAACACCCAGGGGAGTGTGAGATCCCACACTCTATGTCCATTTCTCAAAACCCCACAGTTTCACAAACTCAAAAGCTGCTCATAACAAAATGTGAAAATATGATTTCCTTATCATCTTCTAAAGAAAAAAGAAATTAAGACAAAGCCTAGACAAGTTCACACTCAAATCCTTGTTGGATGGTGGGAAATACAGCATTGGCAAATCAATAAGGCTCGATAAAGTAAGTTAAACATAGAAAGCTAATAACCTGAAATGCACATTGGTTTTGATGTCTCTATGTTCACACCTGGGCAGTCATGAGGAGTTCACTCTTATGTCACTTCAGGAATTGAAATCATCAATGTAAACTGCTTCCAGAGCATATCATCATACCCAGATCTGTGAATATTTTCAAAATACTTTCCCAAAGACTAAGCATTTATTTGCAGTTGTCTTCAAAAGTATCACCAATTCTCAAAAATCTCAAATTGTCAAGTTCTACCAAGCTTTTTGAACAGGATGTCAACATTTCTTCAATGCATAATAACTTATTTCAATCTTCTTAACAAAAGAACCAAATAAGACCACTAAGTTAAAATACTTACTAAGATGTGAAACTGCAATCTAAATTTTGCTGCTTACTTTTCTGCATTATAATTAAAATCAGGCAAGCCCAGTTAGGTAAAATGCAATCTAACATAAACTTATGCTACTCCCTTGCACTGAGTCCAACCAGTTTTATAAGTGTGGAGCCAGCAAAAGCCAACTGAATGTTGCTGCATATTTCTGCACAAGTGGAAGATGTGATTTTCCTTCCTCCAAACATTTTTCACAGTGACAGGCAAAAGTCATCCCATTTTTGTGATATTATCACAAAAGACAGAGAAAACGTTAAGATTCTACACAAGGCTTCCATAAGAACCATAACTTTTCCAAATTACATCAACTAACATAAAGACATTCATTAAGTTTTTATAGGGAAACTGCTATCCAAAGGAAAAAATTAACTAATTCAAAACACAAACATAAACCCTTAATCTACAGCAAGTATTTTCTAAACTTCCCCATTTCTTAGCTCAACTTTTCTCAACTCTTCATCTCTAGAATTCTCCCTTGGGGTGTTGTCCAGATTCTGGTGCAGTCACACAGGCCTTGTCCCTTACACAAACAGAGAGAAATATAGCCAGACACTGAGCTGGAGGAAAGCAGAGGCAGACTAAAAATATTCCAAGGGCTCCTTGTATTTGTGTGATGCTTAGCTGGAAGGCCTCTGTATTTTAAAGACAGCTGTGCTAACAAATCATTGTAGTAGTATCCAGCTGGACAGATATCACCTCCCAATAATTCTGACTGTCAAGCGTTTCTGTCAGAAGCACCCACTGTTAACAGGAACAGCTCTTCACGTGGGTACTTTTTTTCAGAATCAAGAGCAAAAAAGAAATGCTTCTCAACCTTAGATGTAAGAAATAGCTGGACTGATGGCAATCAACCTCTGCCACACCACAGAACCAAGAAGAGAATAACAAAGTTTCATACAGTCATTTTAGCAAGATTTATACCCTAATTGGCTTCCTTCCATCTATTCAGTATACACCCAGCCAGTCTACTATGAATGTCCTTCCTATTCATCTTGTTATATTTCCTGTGTTGTCTTCACTGTTTAGTTTCTTCTTTTCTGTTGCTTCTTCTCCAATTTCTCATGGGCCTGCACCTATATTACATTCATTACCTACTCACCTGCTCATTTCATGCCACCAGCATGAAACTAAAGCACATTCCCATAATTCACACAAACCTTTGCTACTCATCAATTTGTAGCCAAGACTGTATCAGCAATCGGAAGGAGGTTTTTTTGTAGGAGGCAGAGGGGACTAAGGGTTGGCTGAAATAAACTGCCTCTCTCCTCAGGCAACACACACATGGAACCCTCTGTCCCAGTCTCTGGGAAGAGTCAAGACACCCTTTGTGCCTGTGCTTTTCAGGACTGTATTATCACACACTTCAGCCTCTGATCAGCTGCGACCCAACCAGCCTGAAGAGTCAGTTCACCACTGGCTACTGGAAGAACTGGCATTCGTTTTCTCCGCTTCCTGCTTTCATCACCCACCTGACCATCGCTCCACCACAAATTCCTGCTTCTTATGATTCATGCATGTACTTTCTCTATTCTGTCCTCTCCCCAGATTCCTCACTGTCTCTGTAAGAGAAGTGCTCCTTCATCGTCCTTCTGTCTATCCTCTTCACCCAGGAGATAAGGAAGCTTCCACCACTACTTCCCAGCTTCCCAAATGTGCCCACTGACACCATCTCTTCCCTGCTATTCCCTCTGCTGCCTGGTGGTGTTCAGGATGGTGCAGTTTCACCAGCAGTGAAAACACAGCAGACTCTTCACCCGCACACTGTGTAACTCTGGGACCTCTTCTGCACCAGCCAGGTCTCATCTACAGTGGCACAATGTGCTCAAAACCAAACCTCTGCCTCCACACAAACTGAAGATGCCTCCTGAGCACATGGACTTTCCAGTCTGAGTCTTAAAAAGGTCACAAACATTTGCTTTTGTGCTTTTTCCAAAGAAGAAGAAAAAACTTCAATGCTTTCACTCAGTGAGTCTCTCACTAAATTAGGTTTCTCATAATGTGCTTTTGCACCCAGACTCAACCAACAAATTAATGTACACAAATTCTTACACTTGTGCTGGGCCATAAAGGCTTTAAAAGAGCTCCACAAGGGCACAGGCCCCAAACCCACAGAAATTTGCTGTGGGAAGAAGACCAGAAGAGGATGCAGGCACTTAAAACAGGAATTAACTGAACTATCTAAAATAGTAAAGGTGCCCAAATCAAAACCTGTAGTCCCAAAGGCATCAAGTAATTCATCCACGGTTGAGGTAAAAAAAAAAACCAGAAAAAAAATCCCGAAATCACTTCAGGGTTGAAGTATTCTAACCAGGAGACGAAAAAATACTGTTTCTTCCTGCTTGCTCTTCTTCTGACCAGAGGGTGAGCACAGGGGCACACAAGACACATCCACACAAAGGAAGGAATACCAACTGCACCTCTGTGACACAAGAAATACCAGGGCTGCTTCTTGCAAGCACCACAGCGAAGAAGAACATCTTCAAATTCCTTGGCAAGCACCCTAAGCTCTGTGGTTAAGGCTAAGAAGCAATTCCAGCAGTTGATTTCAAGAAGGATGGAAACTCCTCTCAGTTCTTTCAAAACATTCTGACGCTTACCTCAGGAGCAGTTTCTGGCATCGAAGCCGACAGAATCAATTTTTCAGTTCGATTTGGGAACCCAAACTCTCAAAGATAAGCAGGTGCCCAGCCATGTCCCTCCACTTAAGTGCCTCTCAGCTATGTGTCTCTTTCTGGAAATGCTCTTCTACCACTACAGCAAAAAAAGCCAAGGCACCCCGAATCAGGTTTTATGCCTCTGAAAAGAACTAAACATCTCCATCTTTTACTTGGTTTGGGTCCATGCCAGCTTCACACTGATCAAGAATTGATACAACTCTGAAATACAATTAATTCTGTCCATAAAGTTATTTTTTTACCAACTGATTTTTACCTGTTTACTCAGAGACTTGGCTGGTTTTGGCATTATGGAAGCCAAGGCAACATTTCCAAGTGGAAATTACATATTAATGGCAGAAATTGTATTAATATATTAGCAATAAAATAACTTTCCAAAATAAAAATTATCATGAGAACAATCAGTCAAGAAAAGCAATGCAGACAGTGCAGTAGTCCTGCCCCACTACAGATCTTTGACTCAACAGATCTAACATGGTATTGAAGATGAAACAAAAAGAAACAGACGAGCTGTCAGGTTTTAAAGAGGGAGCAACTTTAAAAATAGAGTTCCTTAGAAGAAAGAGCTTTAATATTCCACAGAAACTGTCAGTTTCTCTGCTCTCACCGAAAAATAATAATAAAAAAAAAAGAAAATGGGAAAAAAGGAAAAAGAGAAAAAGGGGAAACTTCAGAAATGCCACCCTTATAAGAAAGAAATAAGACACAACGTAGTCCTTTGCCTACTCCCAATTTGCAATAAGGCCACAAACCAGATATCCACGCAGCTAAACCCTGACCCTTCCCAGAGAAATCAAGGCATAAACAGCAGAATTGCCCACGTGCAAGTGCTGGCCCCTACCCACCCTGGGATGACTGAGTGCACAGCCATAGCCACGCTCCCGTCGTGCCTCGCTGCATCCCATTAAAAACTGCGGCACGCCTGGCATGTCCCAACTGGGTCAGAGCCCCGGGACAGCCGGGGCTCCCAGGCAGCTCCGGGCTCAGCCCACGCCGCTGCAGTGCCACAGCTCTCCTCAGGTGACCCACGGGTGGGCAGCGCAGGGCGCACACAACTCACACGCTCTGCGTCGCACACACACCGAAGGCGGAAAAAATTACACTCCTACAGTGCCTAATGCCCGTCTTGAAAATAAACCCCGTTGTTATCATTAGGTGTATAAATGGAAGAATAAAAACGATGTTACAAATGTGACAGTGTGATCATTCGGCTGTTTATTTCTTGATGCATCCGCCTCAGTTTTGGCAGGAGGATCAGTGCTGTCTGCGCTGCAATTCCGTAAAAAAAAAAAAAAGACAACCAACTCAAGTATTTTCCCTCTTTGTTGCAGTTCAGTGGTGGGGCATTTGCAGGAACGGGCTAAAGAAACGGGTTTTATCCAGGTTTCACAGGGATGTTGTGCGTCAGATTCTTAACGAACCCTAAATTAGAGAAATAATCGATCCCAAGCGCACCTTTGAACCAGCACCAAGGGGGATCTCAAGGGGAATGGGGGGCTCCTCGCGGGGCGGGTGGGCGAAGGAAGCTGCGGGCGAGCTCCCGGCGCCGCCGAGCCAGCGCTGCCAGAGCTGCCGCCCGGGAGCAGAAGGAGGAGATGGCGGGGCAGGAGGGGACCCAGCCGGCAGCCCCAGCACAGGGACCCGCCGCGGGCCGCAACGCGCCGCGCTCCGCTGCGCCTGGCAGTGTGGCAGCGGGAGGCGGGAGGCAGGGAGGGTGTGGAGGCTGCGGGCGGTCCCTGCCGGAGCTCCGGGGCTCCCCCGCCCCGCCCGACCCAGCCCGGCCCGGCCCGCGCGGGGCCCCGGCTGTGCGAGCGATTAATTCAAGATGGCGCCGGCGCCCTCCACAACCCCCCCCTCGCGCGCCGCCATTTTGTCCCCTCCTCCAGACACCTCCGAACCCCCCCCGGCCGGGCCCGGGGCCCCGCACCGGCCCCGCTCGCACCCCCCCGGGCCCGCAGCCACCCACCTCCGCTCCGCGCTCCTCACGCCGCCCCCTCCGCCGCCCCGGGCCGCGCCGGGAGTGCGGGACCCGCCGGCGCGGAGCCCGCGGCCCGCTCCTGTGGCGGAGCCCTGGCGCGGCCTAGCTGCGGCCTCCTCGCGGCCTGCGCCGCGGCCTGCGCGGGCAGGGGGAGGCCTGGGCCGGGCGGGCGCCGGGGCCCGGCCCGTGGCTCTTACCGTGCGGGTGGCGGGCGGCGGCGCTCGCTCGGCGCGGCTTCTCTCAGCGCGACTGGGCCGAGCGCGGCGGCGGCGGCGGCGGCTGCGGCGGGGCGGGCGGGCGGGCGGGAGGAGGAGGGGCCGAGCTCGGAGCTGAGTGGAAGCGGCCAAGCTCCCCGGGCCGGGCCCGCCGTCAGCACGTCACGTCACTGCCCGAGAGAGCCCAGGAGCAGGCGGAAGGGGCGCGCCGCCGCCGCCGCCTCGGGCCGCCCGCCCGCCCGCGGGGGCCGGGGCGGCCGGGCGGGCCGGGGCCTGTGTGCGGGGCGGGCGAGGCGGCGGTCGGGGCGGCGGGGCGGGGGCGGCGCGGCGGCGCTCGGTCCCGCGGCTCCTCCTGCCGCCGCCTCCGCCGCGGCTCGGCCGCGCTGCGCCGCCCGGGGCTCGGCGTGCGCCCCCCGGAGCGCGGCGGTGCCCCGGGACCCCCGCCCCGCCCGGACCCTCCATGCTGGGCCAGCCCCCGCGCTCCGCCAGGCCCCGGCCCGGCCCGGCCCCGTCGTGCGGACGGGGGGCTCCGCGGCACCGCCGCGGGCTTGGGCTCGGGGCTGCGTAGCGGGGAGCGGGTTGTTCGGGTGCGGGCTTTTAGGGTGCAGGTTTTTAGGGTGCGGGAGCTCCGCGCTGGGGCGGACGCGGGCCGAGGGCCGCGGGTTGCGCGGCCTCGGGTCACCCCGGCGCGGGGCGCGGCCGCCGGCGGGAATTGCTGGGAACAAGAAGGGCAGCGGGGCGCGGTGTTGGACCCCCGGCCCCCGCGCAGAACGGGGCCCCTCCACGCGTGGCGGGACGGTGCTGGCACTCACATAACAGCATTAGCAGGGCGGGGGGGGGGTTGCATTTTGCGGGCCGTAGAAAATTGGAAATTATGTGTCGAAACCCAAGCCCTGCCTAGAGGTGTTTTCTCATCCTTGCCACTAAAGTTAATCAAAATTAATTTCATTTTCTTTTGAGGAAAGAGCTGCTGTTCATCCATGAAAGATGCATCCTAAAGTTTTCGAGGCATTAGAAATTACGTACCATGAGTAACCTCATGGAGATGAGGAGGTACCTTCAAATTGGTTGGTGTTCTTTTGTAATTTTGGGGTCAGGGCTCAAGGAGGCTTCCTCGAGAGGCATTCTTAACATTTAAGTAAACTGGAAGGAAGTTGGCTGTTGCGCTTATCAAATGATGCAAATGTGACTTATCAGGCTGAGAACAGCAAATGTGTGGTGTTTATGTTGCCAATGAACCTCCGTTTCAGCTTTGACTCCACTTTCATTTTAGGCACTAGACTTCTCTATCTTAACACACAGGCGTAAAATGTAATTTGGGCAATGCTTGTAGTTTATTTCAGTGTAGTGTTTGATAAACATGCACCCTGCAAGCTTTACCCAGGTGGGTTGACCCTGGCAGGATGCCAGGCATCCACCAAGGCTGCTCTGTCACTCTCCTTCTCAGCTGGACAGGGGAGAGAAAGTATAACAAAGGTTCGTGAGTTGAGATGAGGACCGGAAGAGATCAGTCACCAAATACCTAAGGGCAAAACAGACTCAAATTGGGGATATTAATTGAATTTATTACAAAAAAAATCAGAGCAAGATAGTGTTGCTTTAGAAGTTAAGTAAATCTTAAAACCACCTTCCTCCTACCCCTTCCCTCCTTGCTTCCCAAGTTCTACCTCTTGCCTCTCCAGTGGCTCAGGGAGACAGGGAATGAGAGTTACAGTCTGTTCATCACAGCCACTGCTCAGGGAGAGGAGTCCTTCCCCTGCTCTAGTGTGGTGTCCCTGCCATGGGAGACAGTTCTCCACAAACTACTCCACAGGCTGCAGGGGGATCTCAGCTCTGGCATCCGGAGCATCTTCTCCTCCTCCTTCTGCACTGACTTGGTGTCTGCAGAGTTGTTCACATGTTCTCACTCTGCTCTTCTCTGGCCGCAGTTACCTCTGGGAAATAACATTGTTTTCCTTCTCAAATACGTTATCCCAGAGGTGTTACTGTCATTCCTGATGGGCTCACCTTGGCCAGCAGTGGGTCTGTGCTGGAGCTGCCTGGCATTGGCTCTGCTGGACATGGGGGAAGCTCCTGGCAGCTTCTCACAGAAGCCACCCCTGTAACCCCTCCACTACCAAAACCTGGCCATGCAAACCCAATGAACCTTGATACTGAGAATGGAAGAGACACCATAATACTTCAAAAATTATTTTTTTTTCAGTTCCATGAAGACTGGAGTTAAACTTTTGTAGAATCAGCCCAGACCTGTGTTGCAGAAGTGGGTCCTAAAATATTTACTGTAAAAAGATTTTCTGAGCTTGACCATACATGTGATATTAATGTAAAATAGTCATAAGTAAATATTCTTTCCAGGATGGAAGAGGCTAAAGGAACAAGCAGAGAAAGATTATGGTGGATACATTAGCACCAGCAAGATAGATATAATACAGAAAAGTAAAAAAATGGGACATTTATTTTTTTGCCCTTATGTTTAAGACTGTGAATTTCTACAAAACAGGGGGACAGATTTCCAAGAGAGATTATGATGGCTCTGTCTTTGGAGATACTCAAAACCCAGCTGAACACAGCCTTGAGGAACCTGCTGTAGCTGACCTTGCTCTGAGCAGGAGGGTTGGATGAGCCAATCTGCAGAAGGACTTCCAACTTGAATAATTCTATGATTTTTAAGCCATTTTTTTTAACAAATGTAAAGTGCGTAGCAAATTATAATGAACAGCAGGATGTCCTTTGGTTCTAAGGACATTTTATTCAGTTTTTCATTCACATAGGGAATGGACATTCAGAATACAGGGCACATTGCCCTCGAAGATTCAGCATATCCAATTGTTCTCTCACTGCAGGGAAAGACCTCCAGAAAACTGATCCCATTAAAAGGCCAGTGGCCGGGTGTTTTGCAATACCTGAATCTCAACTTCTTGACTGGCTAGCCACTTACCCTGTATATGTATAATGTTTCACCTTAACCCCCTTGTTCTTTACCACTCAGGAGCCACATACCAGCAGATTTTGAGCCATCAGAGTCACTTGAGTAAGTCCCGATGAAGCCATCACCTAAATGTTGTCACCGGCCACTCTGGTTTCCAATAGGCCACAGACGCCCTGGTGTGATCAGAAACAGGGTGACTCCCATGGGTGCAGCTGCCAGGAAGGAAGATGTGTTTGCAGCTGATATTCACAGCCCTTTCTGCTCCCACAGCCAGCAGAGGTGTCCAAGGGCAGAACGCACCTGGAAACCGCAGATACAGGAGGTGTGCTCGCACCACTTTGGAGCAACGTAGGTTAACTTGCAGGAATGTCTTTGTAACTTTCACCTTTGAAGAGTTGAATAGGCAAAGAGTAAAACTACATTGTAACCAGTAGGATTTCTGGCCTTGATTAGTTGTTGGATTGTGTTAATTTTGATACACCAGAGACAGAATACAGCTTGTATATAAGTTTATAGTTTAGGTGTTCACAGTCCTGTGAACAGAACTGTTGTGTTCCAACTCTAATTTTACCTGTGATCCACTGTTCCTTTATACTTTTCCCTAGAGCTTGTTTTGGTGTCACTTAGCAGTAGGTATCTTTTTCCTCACAAAGGCAAATGAAGTTGATGGCTTTTGCTGAGTGT